CCCCAAAACCCCAAAACCCCAAAACCCCAAAACCCCATTTAGTATAATTTAAATTGAAAATGAGTGACTTTAGAAAGACCTGATTGAAAAGAGACCATAACATATTCTCATTCGGCCTTTCAAAGTAGACACCACAGTTGATGTATAGGAAGGAAGATGAGTTCGAACCCCAGAGTACCGCAAGGTAGGTTTTGGGGTGGAGGGAATGGAGGAGGGAATAGGGGAAGGAAGGAGATTGAAGGGGAAATAAGGGATTTTAAGAGTTTGGGATAAAATTTTGATCCTAGGAGAGGGAATTGAGGTTTTTGTATAGTTTTAAGTCAATTCCGAGAATATAAGTCAAAATTCTTCAGAAAAGTACTCAACTAATAAAAGTAAGCTTGATCTAATGGCATGCTATCACGAACGAATATTACTCATTAAAATTTAAATTCCTTATACTCTAAGCAGCTGCTAATTCTTCATAACTTTGAATAAAGTGAATCACTTATTTTTAACCTTTATTTAGAATAATGGATCAAGAACTCCCAGATTTAAGATTAACAAGACAGAAAGTTCTTATGGAAAACTTTCTAGGAGCGGAAGTAAGAAGGTGCTCAGAAGAATGGATAGACTCTACAAGGAGAAAACAACATCTTCTAAAGGTAACATCTAGTGTATTATAACCAATCTGAAGTTCAAAGAGGAAGTTAAGCCTCATTTTGGTAACTTATCTGTTACGATTGTGGGCCATTATTTTTATTCCCTGATTATTTCCCAAAGAAATTAAATTTTTCTCTCAAAATTAATCGAGAATTTAGAAGGTAGTCCTTCAGAGCCTCTGATCAGCATGCATTTTTCAGAGTTTACCAAGGTATGAGTTATGTCAACCTTTAGAATAAACTAGGAATTATTAGAGGAAAGAAGGTGATTTGAATTCTAACCTTTAGATCCCACTTAAAATTCCCAAGAACTACCTATGAGAAGGCAGAAGGTTAAATAACTAAAACTTGTGACCAAATGAATAGGAAGATACAATCAAAATAATGAATCCTTACAGCTCCTTACTCCAAAGAAAAGTATGGGCAAAGTGTTATTAATCTCATTCTAAATTTTCTTGAGTTCCTCTTGACTCTATAACTTAAAATTTATGCCAAATATAGTCACAAAAGGTGTCATTGAGAATAAACTAGTGGATAAGTTCCTAAAATACGTAAGTCTTATTCTAATATTTTCTTTAGAAAATGAAGAAACTGGCTCCAAAGAAGGTACTGTCTTCCTAACTTTAGAAGCTTAAATAATAAGCAAGATAGAATTGATAAGAACAAACAGAGCAACCTAAACAAAGATATCTCAATGAAGTCCCAAGGATTTATCAGGAAGAAGCCGAGGACAGGCAGGACTTCTAGGATCTCGAATACTCCAAAGAATAGTGACCTTGTTGAGTTCAGAAAGTACCTTTCTATTTGTTTATACAGCTTAATAGACCAAGAACAGTAAAGAACAGAAATAACATCTCAAGTTCAAATTCTAAGATTCGTAAAAAGAAGAAGCGAGGCAGCTTCGGAATACTTCATCCTGTATCTAAAGTGAAAATAAGACCGAAGAGTAGCTATTTTCCAAGTATGTCCATCTTTCTGACCTTTAGTGAAGTCTCGTCTTGATCGTCCTTCTACCTCTAAGCCTTCAGTGAAGTATCAGAACTATAAGGTACGTATTATTCCTCAGATGTTTAGAAAGATATGAGCGTGAAGCTACTAAACCTCCTGAGAGCAGGGTGGATTTACAGATAACTTTCAACTCAGCAGCCTCATAATGGGGTTTTGGGGTTTTGGGGTTTTGGGGTTTTGGGG